ACTATAGGCCACACTACATCATTTTTCTTGATCACAATCAGTTATTTCTAATGCTACTCGGTTAATAATAAGAATATAAATTTTCATGGACAGCGGTTATTACAGTGGAGAGCTTACATGTTTTTTTTTAATGATTTTGTGCTCAGGGCGGCCCATTGGCCGAGTGGTTAGCGTGTCAACCTCACAGTGCAGAGTTCGTAGTTTCGATCCCAGCTCCGGCCTTCCTGTGTAGAGTTTGCATGTTCTCCCCGTGCTTGCGTGGGTTTTCCCCGGGTACTCTGGTTTTATCCCACATGCAAATTGTCCCAAGGTGTGAGTGTGAGCGTGGATGGTTGTTCGTCACTGTGTGCCCTGCGATTGGCTGGCGACCGGTTCGGGGTGTCCCCCGCCTACTGCCCGACGACAGCTGGGATAGGCTCCATCATCCCCTGCGACCTTTGTGAGGATAAAGCGGATCAGAAAATGGAAATGGATTTTGCGCTTGAAAATGACTCTCTGTTGTAAAGAACAAAGTATTGTCACACTATCAAATGTCCTGCCTGTAATTCATATTTTCATTGAAGTGTTAGGGGAACAAAACTAAGTTTTGTTTTTTTTTTCGTCATATATTTTTACATATAATCATGAACTGTTCTACCTTACCAAATTTCTTGCGATGATGTGTCTGTATTAGAGAACGTTATCTTTGTGATGAGCTGTACATGGATTTATCGCATCTTGTGGTTTCAGGACCAACAGGATGCCAACGGTGGCACTGAGCAGCACCAAGAAGGCGGGACCACCAGATTTGGGTCCACGGTGGGCTCAGAAGGAGGATCTGGGCCTCCGGAGCAGAACGGCCTGCCGCCCTCCGCCAGGCCCCCCCGCGTGGCGGAGGCCGACGAGGAAGACGATGAGGAGTTGACGCTCAAGTACGGCGCCAAGCACGTCATCATGCTCTTCGTCCCCGTGACGCTGTGCATGGTGGTCGTCGTGGCGACCATCAAGTCAGTCAGCTTCTACACGCAGAACGACGGACAGAGGCTGTGAGTGGACAAAAACGGGTGCGGCCACTGGGTGGCGCCATTTCAGCATTTCATGTACTTTTCACGGTTCTTAAACTTTTTGGTTCAAGGGAATTTTTATAATTTTTTTTTTTTAAATAAGAGTTACCATGTGTACCCGTTCATGCCATAGAAATTAAGAAGTTGGCCATTTTCAAAAAGAAAGCAAAAAAAAATTTATATATATATATATATATATATAGAGAGAGAGAGAGAGAGAGAGAGAGAGAGAGAGAGAGAGAGAGAGAGAGATATTTTTTTTAAGTTGAAAATTAGTGTTATGAGTTCAACTCGCAAACCGAGAACCACTGCGTGAGCCGATCATCTTCATCTCCCGTTATCCTCTTCTTGTGACAATCGCGTTCCCTCTCTTGTGTACCCGTCAGGATCTACACGCCGTTCCCGGAGGATACGGACACGGTGGGCCAGCGGGCGCTCAACTCCATCCTCAACGCCACCATCATGATCACCGTCATCATCGTCATGACGCTGGTGCTGGTGCTGCTCTACAAATACCGCTGCTACAGGGTGCGTCACGCCCGCCCGCCCGCCCGCCACGGCTTATTTGTCGGCCACTTTAACACAGAACCCAGCAAAAGGGCAGGGTGTTGCCGTAACTGCGTGCGTTCACACAGCGATGCGGCACCCGACTAATATCTGGTTAGGACATCAAAGTGCTTCTGGTAAACCAAAGATTCTTGTTAAATCAAGACCAATTTCGACAAAAACCCCCCCCCAAAAAAAAAACATTAATAGTGACCTGTTTATTTCTTAAAATTAATTTTTTTAATCAAGTATTGGTATTTTTTTTTTTTTTTTAAACTTAATGACGTTTTTTTCTTATAAATGTCTTAAATGGGATTTTTATTTTTGACAGAATTTCTCTCTGGTAACAAGTTAACAATTGTGATTTTAGTCTCTTAAAACTACTGAAGGTTTCTTGTCAGTTGAGGTTTTGGGGTGAAATTAGCCTTGTGTTAACAGTACAATTTAATTCTCAAATGAATAAACTGTCTGTTCTGTGCTGAAAGTTTTTTTTTTGCGTGAAAGTTCAAATTGGACTTTTTTTTTTTTTTTTGTCTTCAAAAACTGACTTTCATAAAAAATACATATCTATGTAAGATTGCAACTCGTAACTTTTTTTTCTCGTGCAACTTTTCTATTTCAGTCAGATGTGCCACTTTTTCCCCCCCCAACAAAATAAGGATTTTTGTAATGATACAATTTTTTTCCCTGGAAAATTACATTTTTTTTCCCCCTTCATAATGCTATATTTTTCCGTCCCTAAAATAATGACTTTAAAAATTTTTTAAATTGTGACATATTTGTCTACATACTGCATTTTTTTATATGACATTTCTCGACTGACAATGTTGACTTTTTGTCCTTTTTAAAGTCCAACTTTATTCTTGTCTTGGCAAAAATCCTGCCTTTGTTTCCATACCATAGTGTTTTATTGTCGTCGTCCCCACACACACACACACACACACACACACACACAAATTAATTGCTTGCTTGCCATTAAATTATGACTTATTGTCTCATAAAATGAGGACTATTTTTTATTCTTCTTGTTTTTGGTTTTTTCTTAGGTGATCCAAGGGTGGCTCTTCATCTCCTCCTTGCTCCTGCTCTTCTTCTTCTCCTTCATCTACCTCAAGTAAGCTCCCCTTATCCCTCTTATTTCACCCCTCCCTCCCCTCTCCCATTTTACCTTCCATCCCGTCGCTCTCCGTCCCTCCGCCAGGGAGGTGTTCAAGACCTACAACGTGGCCATGGACTACATGACGCTGGCGGTCATTGTGTGGAACTTCGGCGTGGTGGGCATGATGTGCATCCACTGGAAGGGGCCGCTGCGCCTCCAGCAGGCCTACCTCATCATGATCAGTGCTCTCATGGCGCTGGTCTTCATCAAGTACCTGCCCGAATGGACCGCCTGGCTCATACTCGCCGTCATATCCGTCTACGGTGAGTATGAGCCGCCTCGGGCCGACCCCCCGCCTGCCGTGACATTTTTGCCCCCCCCGTCTCATGTCGGTGTCCGTCTTCAGATCTGTTGGCAGTGCTGTGTCCCAAAGGCCCTCTGAGGATCTTGGTGGAGACAGCTCAGGAGAGGAACGAGCCCATTTTTCCTGCCCTCATCTATTCATGTACGGCCATTTCTGACACCTGCGGTACACAACACTAGAGCGGGGTGATGATGCAAAAAACAATAAGCGCCATTATTTTTATTGATATTGAAGTTACGATGACTAAACACAATTAATCACTGATTTCTAAACTTAGTGGTACAAGAGACATCGCTCCCATGCCGCACACAACTTCACTTTGGGCGTTTCTGAAAATACGGTAGCTTTGCCTCTCGCGGTCCTTTGGAAATTTGTGTTTGTTTTTAGAACATCGCGATTGGTCGCATCAAACAGTCTCATTGGGCCAGATCTAACCCACAAGCCGCGTCTTCACCATCTTTGATTTAGAGCCTTCTCGTAAACCTCAGGCGTGTTTTTGCAAACATTACCAATCATTTCGGGATCTTGATAACACACATGCGGCCGTGTGTTTCGATGTAGCAACCTCGGGGTACATATCATGCGTGTCTTTGGCATGTGAAAAGAAGCCACATGAACACAGGAAAGAGCACACAGGAGCCCAGATTATAAGCGTCAGTGCATTCTTCGTGGCAGCCACCATGGCTAACCACGCTGGCGTCTTATAGAAATAAAGCAAGAAGGCTGTGAACTTTTCCTCCCCCACCCCCCGCAGCGACCATGGTGTGGCTCGTCAACATGGCCGACACGGACACGGCATTTAAGAGGAGCCCGACCGATGCGACGTCGCCTCAGCCCGAGCATCAAGAAGGTGAGCGGTGCCGCCGATTCTCAGTAGCGCGCGTCCACGTTTTAGAGCAACGTGCTAACTAATAGCCGTGCGCAGGAACGGCGCCCCCGGCGTCGCCGCCCGGTCCGTCGGGGGACAACGGAGGCTTCACGCCGTCCTGGGTGACCCAACAGGAGCACCAGCTGGGGCACATGCAGTCCACCGAGGACTCTCGGCGGGAGATCCAACAGTTGCCTTCGGACCGGCCGCCTGTTGAGGATGACGACGAGGAGCGTGAGTGGAATGTTTGGTCTTTTAGAATATCGACATGTTACGAGAGCGTATGTGAGCGCAAATATGATGTCTCATGTCCTTGACGCAGAAGAGGGGAGGAGGACAAAGAGGTGACAAGACAAGGGGGGGGGCTAGAGACCGGGTGCCAGGTGTGAATTGAACACGTATACAGACAGTCAGATGAGGGGACAAGAGGCACTAAAATATAAGCAAGCGATCCATGAAATAACATGAAATTCATATTTAAAAAAACTATGAGGAAAATGATTTCAATAATTGTATGTGTTAGGATAGAAATCAATATATTTACGGAAGAAATCCGGCAGAAATCCGATATTTCGTGTTCAAAAAGCTGAAATTTCGAGGATTTGGAATTTCGGACAGTTCAAAATGTTAAAAGGAACTCGGAGCACGGGTCAACAGAGACCAGGGGAGCTGAGGACAAGGGACGCCCGAGACTGGGGTCATTCGGGATGAAGGGCTGTCATCACCAAAGGACCAGCTCGGGAAATGGGGCGCTAATGACACGGGGCGGCGAGAACGAGGAGCTGTCAGGCCAATGTGGCAGGCATGGAGCCGCACGCCGTGGTCACATACGCCTCGTTGTGTCCTCAGGGGGTGTCAAGCTGGGCCTGGGCGACTTCATTTTCTACAGCATGCTGGTGGGAAAAGCCTCGGCCGCCGCCAGTGGGGACTGGAACACCACGTTGGCCTGCTTTGTGGCCATCCTCATTGTGAGTCGCAGCTAAGCCGCACTCCACCCCCGGCGGCGCCGTCGTAAATGAGCCGCTCGCTTGCCTGCCAGCTTGACGTAACCCCCCTCCCCCCCCCC